GACCTGCTGCTTATTAATGGATGGAGAGTTTAGTAATCAAAAGGCTTGAATGCAGTGCCTGCACAGAGGTGACAGGAACAGCCAGTCAGCTCCCTCTGATTTTACCCGTTTTAAGATCTCTGTGATAATGGCTGACTGTCTCCCTCTGTGCTGCCACTGGCAAGGCCACCAGACACCTGCTCGTGTTCTCTTTCGCAGGGTGAAGAGACCACGCTGGGGCAAGCCCAGCACCATAAATTACGAGGCAATTTGCATTGTAATTCATGCTGCTTTAAGAGGGGAAACCTATGCACATGCATTTCCTTTGACTTCTTCCCTTCCAGGGCAACTTTGCATCCCATCCTGTCCACCAAATCAGTTCATCTTCTCTTCTGGAAAAAGACAGATCTGGCTTCATGAAGCTGTGCTCCACTATGCTGTGCTGTTGGCATGATATGGGCAGCAGTCAAGGCTGAAGAATATTATCATACTCTTTAATTTTAATTATAACATCTGTTTGTAACATTAACCTCGCAGTCTCTTCTCCCCTTTGTGACAGCTAACTTGTGAAATTTTGAAAAGACTGAACAAGGCAAATAAAAATTTAATGGCAGCGGCAGCTTTATTCTCAGATCTAACAAATAAAAAAACCCTACCCAAGTCTCAGATCTCAGGCAATAATCTAAAAGAACTAAGAAAAAGCTGAAGAAAAAGAAATAAATTAAAAAATAGAATATTTCCAGCTATGAAAAATATTGTCATTGATTCAGAACGTAAATTAATTTTTATTTGGCTTAGGATAACAACCTTTCAAAATCTACACGGGGGAACGATTTTCTAGAAAGCAGAATTTTAAAGTGTCTTTTTTGATTAGCTTTTAAAATAAGGAGCTTTTTCAGTCCCTAATTCTAGGACATGAGCCAAACTTGGTAAACAAGGTTGAAGCTGGGCAGCATCTATGATCTAGTGATCATAATTTCATTTAATTTGGAAACACTCATGGGAGTACACCCTATAGAAGGGGCTACAAAAAGCAGATCCACCAGGTCATTTGATAGAATTCTCTGAAATTATTACTGTAATTGAAAGATAGAGCAGGATTTATGTTTTCAGACTGAAATAATGTTTCACAGGATAAAGTGGAGAGGGCTGCTCATGAATGCAGTGTGTTGCTGTCTGCTTTGAAATTAAAAACTCATCAGAGGATGTACTGAATGGCTCAGGGGAAGGCAAGCAGGATGAAAAGCCTGTCCCTTCTCTCTTAAATACTTCTGCTGTTAAAATTTAGCCCAACACAGTGCTGACTAAAAAGTTGTCATGTGACCTCTGAAATAAATGGATCTTCTTAAGCTTTCTCCATATAAAGCCTGTGCATTACGACAAACCAGGAACTGTAGATAAATAATGAGATCAAGCACCAGGGAGACACATTAGTTCAGAAAGTCCTGGGTGAAGTTAGATTAATGCTGGCTCAGATTTGTTCTTTGGGCCCCTTAGTCTGTCCCCAGAAGATCAGCTGGCATGTTCCAGTGAGCAAGTGGAGACAAAACTCCAAAAAGAGAATGACCTGGGAGTATGGACAATGGACACTTGCTCTGCTTTTGCTCCACTGGCCACAGGCAGACTGGAAGAGCTCAAGAGCTCAGCCAGAACAGCAATGAATCCCACATCCCAGTGGCTGCAAGTTTTAAAATACTTAAAAGCCATGGTTTACAACATTAAGTCCTGGAAGAGCTTCTCCCTCCTTGTTTGCCCTCCCCTCCTGTTTTGGTCTCTGTAAATTACACATAATTTTGGTATGGCTGCACAATGAATAGAGAATTCGTGCATAATTCCACATCACCAGTTCTGTATCAGGATAAAGCTGCTGAGGGCTGAGAGACTATTCTACCAACACCACAGCATCCTTCCCTCAGTCTTACAGACCTCCCCAGGCTAACAGCCAATGCTGGACACAAAATACAGGAGTAGAATGGAGACAAATCTGTTGTGTGGTCATCTCTAGATGCCTCACATCAGGAGCTCACAATTGTAGCATAAAAGTACCAACAAACCTTATTTAAACAACATGAGGATGGTTACTGCAACCAGCTGTCTGCTCCCATCTACTGTTTTGCTGTCACAAAGGCCTGGGAAACTTCTTTGCTTCAGTGCAAGGTCAGGCTGGGTTAGCTATAGCCACCAGAGGAGATGGCAGTGGCTGGAAAGGTGCAAGTGGCCACAGTGGTGTGTGTGTTCAGTCACTCCTGACACACTGAAAACAGCATGTCTGCCTGTGGCCACATTAGAGAGAAACTGGGGCACTTCAGGGATTGGCCAGTAAACAGCATAAAAAAAGAGCTTTTCTACCAGTCTAGGTACTGTGCAGTTTTTTTTTTCAACAAATAAACTTGAGGGGCTGCTAGGTACACTGCTGCTCACTATGCATCCACATACAGGTGAACAAGTTACCTTCCCTCTGCAGCACAGACAGGGGAGCCTATCTGATTCTAGCACACTACCCAGCTTCACTTATTTTCCTTCATAGTCTTACTAGCTTAGACACAATATCCTCTGCTTAGATTCTCCCATCCTGAGCAAGGACCAGAGACAGAGGTGGCCCAATTTGAAAAGCAAAAGCTGAATGTCATTGTCATTTTAATTAATATCCTGCAGAGGCAAGAAGAAAAGCAAATAAAAAAGGATGAAAGAAAATAAAAATCAAAACAAAATTAGGTCAATCCTCCTTCCTCAGGGATCTTTTGCAGACAACCCAAGGACCCTCTGCTCCCCACATCCTGCACTGCCCCCTTCACCTTATTGTAGTCTGACATCCCACTTCCACCCTCCTGTCCTGGGGAGGCTGAAAGGCAGCCTTGGAAGGGGCAGAAAGCAATCCTGTTGTACAACATCAGTAATCTGACACTGCCTTTAACAAGATTATCTTGTATCCCTCTGTCCTCCCTCCCCCCAACACACAAGAAACCCTTTTTCAGGCCAGTGCTGGTTTGTTTCTCTACCCTGGGAAGCTTATGCTACTGAATAATCTGTACTTTTGTCCTCCCCCTGTGTTATTTCTGTCTCTGGGTGTTTCTCATTTTCCTCCGTCTTATGCTTTTCCCTCCTGGCATTAATAACGTTGTGGAGAATGATTTCAGATGCCAGCCTAAGTGTGTGTTTCAGAGATGTGGCTTTGGATGGAAAAGGTTGGCTCTATGAGACAGGGAGATGGAGAGGACATTTCCTGCGGTCTTGCTCACCACCAGGGACCACGGGGTGAGCATCCCCTGCGGAGCCATCAGGTTTCCCATCCCATGGATGCTAACAGGCACTTAATCGTGGTGATGGGCAGAAGGGAAGAGGGGAAAAGGCAGGCAGCTAAACACAGTAAGACTGTGTTAAGGAGGTGGCACAAGTGAAGTGCCTCAGACAACAGCGTCAGATATGCCCAGGAAGAGACAGGCAAGAAACGCAGCCCTGAGAGAGCCTTAAGAAAACTGCAGGATGAGAAAGAGAAGTGAAGTCTCGTATGGAGAAAGCCCCTTGTAGAACTGGAGGGATGAAGATGGGAAGGAGACTAGTTACGGTTTATAAGGTAGTTGCATGTCTCTTAATCAGCAGCATTGCTTTCCCAAGAATCCTACTGGAGATTTCCAGTTCCTGCACGTTCATGGCTGGAGCTGAGGGCTCAGGAGCCGCACGCTGTCAGGGGGAGAGCTCAGCACTGAGCTTGCTGCAGGCTGGTCCCAAGCATCCAGGTTATCCCAGCCCAAGCTGAGCAGCTTTGCTGCAAAACCCTACCTAGATTACCTGTCACTGCTGGCAAGCTGCCTCCCACGTATTGCAGAGCCTTGCTGGCACAACCAGGGTGAGTGGCTGGGTTTTCTTTTGGGGTTCTTTTGCTGATTCTTTCACAAGGAATGTGAGAAGACTCATCTATTCTTTCAGACACATACAGTTTAGAGGGAAAGGTCAGCTGGGTTATGTCTTAACAGTGAGTGGCTTGTCAGACTAAATAACAGAATTAAAAAACTTCTACCTGCAACCCTGGATGGATCATCTAATTTCTGGAAAGAAGAGTTTGGATGCTAAAGGAAAGGAGATAACATTTGAGAAAGACTCAAACATAACTTGTCTGTAGAGACAGCTCCTAAACTTGCCACCATTCCAAACCCACAGAAACCTACTAAAGTGTTGGAGTTCTAATTTTCATAGAATGAACAAGTATAACTCTACAGTCAACAGGAAAAATACTTCTGTGGATACAAAGGCTCTAAGCTTTTAATCTTACACTCACATGTTGTTCCTCATGTTTTTATACATACCTGAGCCTCTTTTTAATCGTCTTCTTGCAAGTTTAATTTGATCCTGAAGAATCTGGACCCAGTCCCTAGGACCAGGAAGTTTATCCACATGGTTAGCAGTGCAGTATTTTTCTGTAAAGACTGAAATAAAAAGATACCACCTTTTTGAAACGTGCCACCAAAAATGGAGAAAAGGAGATGGGAGAGGATTTTAATCAAAATATATGAAATTATTCAATTATCAAAAAGAATTTTAGTTGCTAAATGTAGGATTGTGAGAATAAAGTCCAACTCAGCATTTCACAAGTTCGTAATTCAGAAGTGACTTGGCTGCATAAATATCACAGGAATGACATCATTATGTATATATTTATATACTATGTATAAAAGCCTGTCCCAGTGAAATGTTCTACACCTGATGTCTGCATGAATTTCACACAAAATTATCACAGAAAAATAACAGTGTACTTAGAACAGAGTCTCAGATGTGGCAGGCACTTGTAAATGCTGCTTTCCATATGGTACAGGTAGAGAGCTGAAGATCTGGTCATTTGGTGGCCTCTTGGTCAGATTCCTAAGGCTGCAGGCAAAGTGATGAAAGAGTAAAGTCCTACCACTGTGGAAATCTCCAGAGTTTTTATACTGCCAAACCAGATGGAATAGAATTTGTATACACCTACTAAAGAAAGGGGAAAATAAAAGAAAAAATAAAATAAATAAAAAAAAAAAAAAAGAGTGCAGCACCATTACAGAGAAGAAAAGAAATATCCTACAGGTCCAATTTTGTATTTTGTAAAAAAGGTACAGAGAGGGTCAACATTATCTTTAAATCCATATTTACAACAAACCTAACAGTGTTATACCAAAAATACGGAATTATAAATGGAGTGAAACTGATGCAATTGATTTTCATCATGCAGCTGAGAGGTGAGCAAAAAATAAACAAGTGCAGAAATAGAAAAAATATTCTTGCTGATAGTATTGCTATTGTAAACTTGGTCAGAGGTCTCAGAGCCCAATGTCCAATTATGACTGGCAAACAAAGAGAGAAAGCTGGTCCCAGCTCAAGGGATTTGTAATCCTTGAGAATAAATATCACACAAATGGGATCAGGAAATGTATAACAAAACAATGACAATTTCAGTATTTTTATACACACACTTTTGAAGCAGCACTACCTGCTAAGTACAAGGGAACCAAAGGCAATCTCCCCTCTGCCCCAAACTCTTTCCATGTTAAAAGTTCACAAAACCATGTCAAGGCAGACATCAGCAACACTTTCCTGTGCAGTCTGATCTACAAGGACATCAGACCAACTCTGAGGGCTGCCCACAGAAGTCAATACATCCGTACACATTCACAGTGTTTGACTTGCCAACAAACATCAACTTTGTGTAGGTAGAAATAATCTTTCCCTTCTGAATCCATAAGGTAGCTGACACAACAGGAACCTGATCAATGACTTGCGACTCCTGTTTACTTAAAACAGGCAACTGCTCAACGTGTGGTCAGAGAAATAACAGTGTGAGCAAAAAGGAATGGGAATGCAACAGCAAGGAAGCAGGAGAATTGGGACCTGCCCATTCTAGTCCACCCAAGCTGTAAGGTATTGACAAACCCTCTGTCATAGAAACATAGACTAGTTTGAACTTAAAGGAGACTTTAGAGATCATCTAGTCCAACCCCACTGCCATGAGTAGGGACATCTTGCACTTCATCATATTGCTCAACATCTTGTCCAAGCTGATCTTAAACACTTTCAGGGATGGAGCACCTACAGCTTCTCTGGGCAAACTGTTCCAATGTCTCACCACCATCACCATAAAAAAAAAAAGGCTTTCTAATGTCCAACTAAATGTACCCTCTTTCAATTTAAAGCTACTGCCCCCTTGTCCTGTCACTACAGGTTCTGGTAAAATATTCATTCTCATCTTTCTTACAAGCCCCTTTTATATATTAAAAGACCACAATAAGGTCTCCTTAGAGCTTTCTCTTCTTCAGGCTGAACCACATCAATCTCTCAGCCTGTCCTCATAGCAGAGGTGTTCCAGCCCTCTGACCATCCTGGTGGTCTCTGGAATTGCTACAGTAGGTCCATGTCTTTCCTGTGCTGGAGACCCCAGAGCTGGATGCAGAGCTGTAGGTGGGGTCTCATCACAGTGGAGCAGAGGCACAGAATCATGCCCACAGTTCTTGTGATAGCACCTGGGACACAGCTGACCTTCTGAGCTATGACATTGTTGGCTCATATCTAAGTTTTTGTCTATCAGTACCCCAAGTCATTCTCTGCAGGGTTGTTCTCAATCCCTTCATCCACCAGTCTATACTGATATCGGAGATTGCCCTGACCCAGATCCAGGACCTTGCACTTGGTCTTGTCGAACATCAGGAGGTTCACATGGACTCACTCCTTCAGCCTGCAAGGTCCTGGATGGCATCTCTTCCCTCTTGTCAACCAACCATACCACTCAGCCTGGTGTCATCTGCAAACCTGCAGAGGGTGCCCTAGAAACCAGTGCCTGTGTCATTGCTGAAAATATTAAATTGTACTGGTCCCACTATGGATCCCTGAGGGACACATCACACTTATATCTGAACACAGCTCATTGATTTTTGCAGGGAAGGATTTCACTGGCCGAATTTCTAGTCAACAACACAAAGGAAAAATAACTGCTTCTGACTAGTTTTATTTTTTTTCACCTTTTTTTTTTTCCCAATTCTGAGTGAAAGACTCACAAGAGAAGCTGATTGCCCAGGAGAAACACTGCAACTGATAAAACAAGTGCCACTGAATACCCAAAGTCAAATGAGTGAATCCCTGGCTCATCATTCTGTTGCAGAAGCATTAAATTACTTGTAAGGACAGCAATGAAAATGTTTTCAGACAGGAAGAGTGATTTTCAAGCAAACAGTCCCTCCTTTAAATTCTCTACCCATCTTTGTCATGAATGTAGCCTTTTGTACTTCTGTCATGGAAAAGGACTAAAAGTGCCACTAAAGGATATCTGGGCACGTGGTAGAGTAATGTCCTAATGATAATAATGCAAACAACATGATGTTGTTCTTGTAGAGATTTCATACTGGCTCAGTTATTTCTTGGAATAAATGAAACCTCAGTGTCTGATAAGCACAGCTCCTTGGAGGGAAGAAGGGTGCTATTGGAGCCAGACTGAGTGAAGATCCACAGGACGTCAGACCTTGGCATCTTATTCCATCACAGCTTTTAGGGACAGGCTTCCCTCTCAGGGATCAGGCACTAGCATTTGGGCAATACTCTAAGTGCCAATAAAGGTCACTGTTATGGCAGTGGTACCTAGTAGTACCATCAGAGATTAAATGTTTCTGTTGGAACTACAAGTCCCTCCTTTCTTCTTTTAAACTCAAGGGAAGAGGTTAAGCCAAGCCTCAGAATCTGCTCCACTAATACAATCTTAGCTACTGAGAAACATTGCTTTCTGCAGTGGGTACCAGCTGCTATTTTAATAGTGCTGTTGCATTTACTGTAAAACATTTATTTTATCAAGTGCTGTTCAAATTAGAGTGGGTTTTTTGGAAGTAATTTTGAACTCCTCTCTCTTTCATTTACTTATTTATTAAAGCTTTTAAGGAACAATGAGATACAGATAGAGAGAATTCAGACTCAGATTTTTGCAGATTACTGAGCTCAAGACAAGAAAGTACAGAACTGTTTGTGATTTAAACATAAATACAAGTGTAACTGTGTCAGCTGCTATGGCATAAGCACAACATACACTTTGTGGCAGATGTGCACACTTGAGAGGGTCCTCTGAAGGCCTGCTTGCCCAGCCTGCTGCTCAAAGCATGGTCAACTAGATCATAATACTCTGGCCTGTGACCAGTCACATTTTGAATATTTGCAGGGATGGAGATCCTTCAGCCTCTCTGAGCCCCTACTGCGCTGCTCAACCACCCTTATGCCAAAAGTGCTTCTCCTTAGCAATTTTCCACATGTTCAGTGCTTCTTTTGCCTTTGGGAAGAGTCTGACTCCACTTCTCCGTATCATCCCATTAGGTAGTTGTGAATAGCAGTAAGGCTTCTCCTGAATAATTTTCTCTCCAGTTCTCTCAGACTCTCCTCATTTGGTACTGAAGCAGGAAAGTGGTGAAGTCATAAGCCTTGGTGGTCCCTGTACTGGACTCCAGCCAATTTGTCAATGCCTTTCTTTCATGGGTAGAGGGGTCCAAAAGTTGGCACAGAGGTGACTGCAGAAGATTATCCTGCCTCCTTTTGCTGCCAATGCACTCACAGAAGCTCTTCTTATTGCCCTATGTCTCCTAAGTTAGCAATCTGTACCTGAGAACAAGTCACAGCATTACTCTTAGAGCTTAATTCTGGCCAGTCTTTTGGTAATGTGGATATTGTCCCTACAATATCAGATTTTGAAACAGAATCCTGTTCAGAATCTCTGGCTTAATACCAGCTCTTTATATACTGTCATCACAGAGTTTGAAGGTACATGTATTCTTCTGGAAGCTAGAGAGCAGTGATTGCTATGAAAAATCACCCAGCAAAAGGTGCTTACACCAAGAAATTTGGTTCCCCAAGAGGAGGACCACTGTACTTATGAGCATCAAACTCATCTCATGCCAGTATTATCTTCCTCCATCTCTCCCCAATCCAGCCACCAACTATTGAAAAATTTACAGAGCAGACACAGTCAAATACAGTGCAGGATTCAGAACTTTGATTGAAAGTTATCAGTTACACTATCATTAGGTTTTCAAGATTTCTTTGCATCTCTGATATCTGGGGGAAAAAAATAATTATCTTACATGAACACTGAGTTTCTAACCTTAGAGCCTGACTTCAGAAACCAGGATCACTGGCTTAAAATTAACACAAGCTGTCCCCATAGAAGCTATTTTTAACAAGTGAATGAAAGGGAATAAAAATAAGACTGCATATTTTAATAGACCTAACACACGTCAGAAATTCTAATCCCCTTATACTCTCCTTAGCTGAGAGTTCTAATTACACATATGAAAGAAAGCAGAAAACATACCTTTTATTGCACCCACAATATTTTGGTCTAGTCCTTTCCGGTTGTCATTAAGCCCTCTTTTTCTTTTGCCATTTGGTAAAGAGTTAGCCAAAGTCTTGTCATCAAAAAATGCACAGACCAGCTTCCTAAAGAGCAGACTTCCTGAGCGAGTATAGTTTGATAGTATTGAGTCCAGCTGAGATTTCGGCATGAAGACGTCAAAGCCTTCTGCAAGTTGCACTTCTGGCTACCAAAAGAATACAAATGTTTTAATTAAACAAGCATTCAAGGACATTATGTTACTTCAATCATGCATCTGGTGAGACTTTACAATCACTTCATCAAACCATGAATCTCTACCAAGCTATTCAGGACCACAGCAGCCTAATTCATTGAAATCAAACTCCATCAGTGAATAAGCACCTTAAAAGGCAAATCAAACAATCACACTCATTGTCTAACATCTGTAAAAGTTAACAATTACTGACATAATTTCTAGGCATACAGCTAACAAAAAGACAAGAGATACCTTTCAATGTTGGGCAATAACGACAAAGCACAGGATCATCCCAGTGCAGCGCTCCTAAGTGATGCTTTTTGGGCATTTATCTAACCGTTTAATGGACTTGTTTCACTGCCAAATGCTGTGAACGAGCATGCTGTGGGGCAGGCACTTCCAAGAAGCACAAATGCAGGGATACTGGCCCATTCCACGTGGCTTCCCAAGAGGGATTCCAGTAAAGATATGGCCCATATGAGTATAAGCAGATGATGAATTCAAGGCTGCCCCTGGAGCCAGCACTTGCTGAGCATCCATTTGTCCCTCCTTCTCATAGTCCCAAAACGCACGTTTAGAGAGGATGATGTTAGACAGACAGCTTATTTCAGTACAAAAATCTGCAACACTGAATCACAGGGATTTAAGTGACTGCCAGAAGGTGAAATGGAGGAGAAGAGAAAAGAAAACCTGCTTATATTTCACAAGAGTCTTCTCTCAAGTACACTGAAGGCCAAAATAGACAAAGGCCTTTGAGGAAGTCCCCTTACCAAGAGTCTTTTTGCTGCCCCTGTCTGTACATATCAGAAATTACATGAACAGCATTTGCAGAATTTTCTTCTCTGAGTACCATACAATGCTTATAGGAAGATTTCTTCATGGCATATTTATATATCTAGAATAAAGACACATTGTGAATAAACTAAAATTCTGAAAATATTGTTTAGAAGTTGGCAAGGAGGTGAAAGAATCAGTGATCATGACGTGAAGAAATAAGCCAACATTGCAGCCTTACTCCTAAGAACTTGCCCTTTTTTTCCCCTACATGAAATACATTCAGCAATGATGATGCATTTTCAGAGTTTACAGAGCAAGAGCAAATGCCATCTCCCATCATATCACCTGTGAACATCTTGAGTCTAGACAGAAGAAAGGGCTGCCAGTCTCAGAACAATTTAGCTGTGTAATTCTTTTCCCATGGATTTCTAAAAATCAGTATGAAGAGTGTTGCAGCAAGGAGAATATTTCCAAAGCATGTACTGTCATGGGATATGGATGTGTACTGTGTGATAAAACTGAAGATTACAATGCTTTGGGATGCCAGGATGAAGAATCTTAAAATATGCAGATAGCAATAACAACAAAATTCTAAGAAGCATGTAGTTCCTCAGCTTTTTCTGGATGAAAATTTGATTTTTTTACCTCAAGAACTTTCAAAATACTGGATCCAGCAAAACAGTCAGTTACTGACATTTGGCAATATTCAAATGTAGGTGCATTTTTAATACGTTACTTCTAAACTTCTGGTGACAGAAAAGACTTTCAAGAGTAAATAAATGCAGGCCAAGTTCACAACCTGGGAAAAATTCTACTTCATGTAAATCAAAAACCACAATTCAGTTGACATGGTGATGAAGGATACCTGCCCTGTTCTGTTCCTTTGGTCTTTTGATAGCCATCCAAGATGACCTCAATGATACAGACACTCAGGGCAGAGGAACTATAGAACCATAGAAGTTTAGGTTGGAAAAAGCCCTAAAGATCATTAAGTCCAGACACTAACCCATCACTAAACCATGTCCCAAGTGCAACATTTACATATGTTTTAAATATGTGTCTCTGTTGTGAGGAGCCCAAAACTGATGCTAGGATTTGAGGTGAGGCCTCACCAGTGCTGAGTACAGGACAGTCACTGCCTTGGTCCTGCTGGCCACACTATTGCTGGTACCCTCACCAAAAGCCAGTTGTTCCTGTGGTACCTTTTATGACACCTCTTACTTAGAACCCAAAAAGGCAGAAGGATCACGAGGCCCTGCTATTATCTTCTGTATTTGTACTGAAAAATCAAGTGAGCATTTTCTCTTCTGTGGGTGGTTTCCCTCTTCCCTGGTCTTACCTTAGGACACCTGCCTTACACTTTGGCAGGTGCACCAACCACCCTACAATACAGCTGTAAAATATATTTCAAACCTTACCATTGTAACAGTGTGGAGGATTCTGTATTATTTTAGTTTTGACTGTTTTATTCTTAATATAGTGATCAATTCGTTTATCAGTAAAACAGTTAAAGGCAAAACTATGATTTATTCTTGCTTTTCTTTAGTAGTTAACTATTCTTCAAAGATAATCAGTAACCATTTGAACTTCATGATCACTTTGAATGTGATTTCTCAAAGAAAAAGCACTTATTAATAGATAATGATTATGGCAAAAGGACCTGGAGAGTAAACTATTTGTGAACAACAAAATAAAGAAGACCTGAATGCTAAAGGCATTTGCTGTGCTAAAATTAACAGCCAGTGAATTAGATTTAGTCCTAGATATTTTAGTAGGTTGTATATGTAGATTAAAAGTGATTAGGTTATAAATGAAATATTACAACTGTAAAACAAACACAAGTTCAACTAAAGAGTTTTAATCATATTCTCTGATCCACAGGCCAGATTAAGGGCTTGTCTCACAAAGACATTTTCCACCTCTCTAAGTAGCAGTATTTCATCTCAGCAGGTCTGAACTAATTGCACTAGTTTTGGCAGCCCCGATTTTATACCCATTAAATTTGTATTCTTCTTAAAGTTCAATAAATGTTGGCAAAATTGCAGTGGCAGCAGTGGTGATGTATGACACAGCACACACCACAGACAACCTGTGGAATATTCTCAAGGGAACATTCATACATGGTGTTTTGTAAAATCTTTCAGGTTTTTTCAGGCATACAGACATGCTGGTTGTGACCACACCAGAGATGTGTGTTTTATGCTTAAAAAAAAGTAGAAAAAGATAATGTTGCCATTCATTCTCAAAGAAGTGACTTTCTTAAGCCTTCACAAAATATTTAAAGTCACATTTTATTTTCACATTTTATTAAATATATCTGTTTTCAGAACTCAAATGTTTTCTTTCCAAAGACAAAACAAAATCAATTTGTTTGTCTTGGGGTTCTGGCTCTGTAAATTTAGTCAAACAACTGTTGTGGCAAGCAGGGCTCAAGCATGGAAGGACAGATGAAGACCTGATTTATGAGCCACATGTTTTCTCTTCTTTTTTTCCTTAGGTCAAACTGGCAACTACAAAGAATCGTGTCCAGCAATGGAACACATTTATAAAGCCAAATTAAATTCCATTGCAAGCACAAAACTGTTTTCAAAACCGTGTTTCAAGCTGACAAGAGTGCCACAAGCAAAAAAAAAATTATAAGCACAAATTGCATGCTGGAGACAAATTACCAGTCCTCCCCAAACCTTTACCTCAAACATTATTAAGCACAGTACTACAAAAGGAAACCCTCTGAAAAAAAACATCAAACTAGCTATTCTGTATCACTACACTGACTCTGTGGCATGAGACTGCAACCTAATTAGTGGTGTGGCTTGCATCTCTGTAACTGAATTATACTGACTGCTCTTTTTTATTATTAGTTCCCTCTTCCAGAAGGATAGAATATTATCTGCTGCATTGTTTTCATTTATGCTTATTGATACTGAATTTAATTATGTTTTTCTAGCTCACAGTACTTAGGAAATTGGAAAGAGCTGCTCAAAATTAAAAATATATTAGAGGAATTAATGAACAGTTTACTCGTCAGTGAACTGGTTTGGATGACATCAATTTGGTCATTAAACAAAGCCAATCATCCACCAGATACATGGAATTTCTATCAGCACATGCATGAATCAAGAAAACATGCTTACTTCAATTTTCTATAGGAAAAGTGCGCACTCTTAGAGCAGCAAATTTTGGCCTTTTTAGTCACACTGACATCATCAACAGTATGGAGGCCCTATTCCAGCACACAGCAATCAAGACAAAATGACTCAATTCAGCAAAAATGAATTTTCTAGAGATGAAGAGTCCCCCCAAAATCAGTGGGACCAGAAAAGCAGGAAAGCACATAAATACTCCTTGGCAGGATAAAGACATATGTGTGGACTACATGGTCTCATCAACAATGATAGGGCTGTGAATGCTTTACACACCTTGCACTTTTCATGTCTCCTCATCTCAACAGTGGCTCTTGGCATTGGGGAGATGAAGAACAAATTTCCATGAAAACTCAAAAAACAGGAGCCTTGAACTCAAGGGAAAACTTCAAGTTTTCATGCTTGTTAAAGTTGGGGAAAAAACCCCAGAATCCTGTAATGAGCACTTTACACATCTAACTCTAACATCTCCATTCACTCCTGCCCAAGATTTGCTTGTTTATTCTAACAAAAAGTGGGAAGATGCATCAATGTGACTTGAGTACTGAATCTCCTGAATGAGTCAGTATTTCAAAATCTTGCAATCCTGCATATTAAAATTTTAACTTACATCTGATGAGGCCGATTCAAGGATAATTCCAAACCCTGAAACAGGGGTCTCTGGCTTCAGGGGGGGTTCAATTGCTTCCAGACTCGATTGTTCCGAATTTGCTGTCAGCCTCTTCTCATTCTCTGGAGAGCTGGGTTTCTTATTCATGGTAACTGCTTCAACAGCTTTGAGGGGCAGTTTTCTCTTTTTATTTCTCTTTCTTGATATTGTTGACTTCTGTGCACAAATCAGAGGAACAGTAGGCTGCTGTCTGTTTTGAGTCCCAACTGAATGAAAGGAATTAATGCATTAATTTTATAGACAAAAGCCCATGAATAACCACACAGATGCAACATTAAACTACTGACTCACTGAACTTATTTTCTAGGTAAGTGATGTGATTTTCAGGGCTGCTGGTGCATGGGAAACAAATAAGTTTTATCACCTTTGCATAATTTTCCCATCTGTACAATGAGGATAATGACAGTGAGGCTTTTCAAGCCATACTGATGAACAGTATTTAAAGAAAATTAGGAATACACAGCTCTTTTTCCTACTGACCATTGGATGGTTGGTGACATGAAGTACTTAAGTGATGATTAATTTGTGTGCCCTCTGAATGACTGAGAATCTCACTGTCTTTGAGGATTTCTTCCTGATAAAATAAGATAATACAATTGCTAATGCAATTACAGTTATTTTTATGACTGTGGTCTCCAAGTTAATTAGCTCAGCAAGAACATTTCAAGTACCATTATGTCAAGAATGAGTGAAAACACTATTCAACAGTTTAATTTCTGGGGGAAAAAAGTAACCCAAAATGTGTTTTGCTCATACACAAAAACTGGCATGTATTACCTCTGAAGCGTAAGAAAATATATTTTACATTTACCAGTATTTCGCAATTTCCAGTATCCACAATCACTTGTGTAAATTAAGGCACCAATCCTGAACCTGTACCAATATGAGTAAGTCCTCTAGAAGAACACTATCAAGATACAATTACATGTGTGGATAAATCACTAAGATCAAGGTCAAAACAAAGAAAAAGCCATAAGTGCTATACATGTAGATCAAGTTTATTCAAGATATGAGCAAGCTACAAAAAGTCCTCATCTACAAAGCTTCAGGAAAAAAACAAACCTCAGACTATTGTTTATTAAAAGATTTCTGGAATATTTAATTTCTGGCAAGCACTTACAAGACTGGGATGTGTAGTTTGTAATTAAGACAGTAGGGTGTTTGAATACTAAAGTAAGTTACTACAATTTCACTTACAAGTTTGAATTTTAGAGTTTTTTTCTTTTAGCAACAAAAATGCCAAATTATTTTTTTTTCCTCTGTAAAACCATAATTTCAGAAACTATGAAGTATTCCAAGTGAATCAAAAGATTCACAAATTAGCAAAGGTACTTACTCTGTAGATACATAATAAAAAAGAAAAGTTCTGCTACTGAGGAATCAGCTCTTCTGGCATAGACCGCAGTTTTCTAAGTCTCACTCACAAGCCATTTTTCAATCAACCATGTGATTCAATGAAATCGGTGTGACTGCATAAAGAATCCCATGTACCAGCAAAAATCGTAAAACTGGGCTTTTGTGTTCTTCTTTGTAAATTGATGACTTCTAGAAAAGCATTTTTATGTGTGTCAACAGATATTACAAAACCTGTCTGATGGTTCCCATCACTCACTCAGACATTATACACCATGGAGACAAGGAGTTTAGTCAGCCCTTCACTCCACCCATATTTCAGTTAATTACTCAACACTCCCTTTTCTTACAGAGGTCTTATCCAGCCTCTCCATGAGGGAAGCCTCCATGGCTCCAGTCCCCATCACTCATGCTGGATGGGCAAGTCAACTGACGAAATCTCCAACATCTCTATCTCCTCATTAGTATTAACACTAACTTTTAGGTAGCACAGAGTCTGCAGCTTCACATCAGCCTATGACAACTCTACCTACCATGTTCTCATTATCTTGCTGGCTCAACTACTCTTCTGGCTCTGCACTGTTCTGTTTCAGCTCCCAACCTAGGAGAAAACTAGACTCAATAGTTTTCCCCAGTGAACAGATACACAGCTGGTATACACACTGAAAGCTGGTACTTCACAGCCAGAGGAAGGGTGGAGGCCATGACATGCAGTGGCTAGCTCAGCTGAGACTACCACAGAGCTAAAAGAGGTTTGAATGAAAAGCTATTTGGTAACTTTCAGCTACCTTCAAATTTTATGTTTCTTACCCCTAAGATCAGTGAACTGGTAAGCAGAATACGAGTGAAGTAGCATTTGGCACCCCTGAATCACTGCACCGTGAAAACAAACTGTACATGGTTATGGCATATTGACCTGTCCACTCAGCTCTCATTATGGATCTGATCACATTAATTTTCTTTTCAATTTAGCCTTAAAAGGCTACAAGATAAAATCCCATATTACAGGTAAGGATCTGAAAAGTAGAAATTGCATTTCCGAGAAACTTGTGAAAATTTGACTTTGGCCAATATGTCAGGAGAGCAGGAAACAATCCAGGTTTTCCTGAGTGCCCACACAGACTTTACTTTCCTAGACCATTCCCTAACAGGAAGACCACAGAATCATAGAACAGTTTGGTTTTGGAAGGGACCTCCAAAGACCATCTCGTCCAATACCCTGCAACAAGCTGGGCCATCCTCAACTCAGTGCTTGTCACAGGTACACACATATGGGACTGGTCACTGTACCTGCTTGAATCTGCATCAACTTTCGCATGGTCTTGAGCTCTTGAAGAATCGCCTGCAGGGTTGACTGGCAATTACATGTACAGCAGTTTGGTCCAACTGACGAATTCACCATTGGGATTTCTCCTGAAAGAGAGGGGAATGAAATGGGAGAGATGTAACCCACACAAAATCACCCAGACAACAATTAGCAGGTGTTTGAAACTATGATCAATATATCAGATTGTAAAATTAGATCAAAAGCATGAAAGGAAATAATTTTCAACATGATTCCTTTTAAAAGGTAGGGACCACTAGTTTTTATTGAATTACTAATACATGCAATTATATTGAGTCGGGATGCAATGTTACATGGGCTGGAGAAGACTGCTCAGTGTGAATGTAACGCACTCGTCACAGCAGGGCTCTCTATTGTCAGGCTGGTTCAACTTGAATAACAGAAGTACAAAACCTCATTACAATCATACTCATTTTATCACACACACACACACACAAAAAAAAGCCTTAAAAGAATAAAGACAGTCTGTGCAATAAAGGTTTTTACTGTACATAAAATGAGGGTCTAGGAATTTTTAAACTACTTGAATGCTACAGGTGATTCTTTACCATGTGAAGAAGAGAGAATGAAAATAAAATACCCTACTTGGAGAAAAAAAAAACAAACCCAAAAAACATGACAGAAAAGAACCACCAGCAACGAAAACTTTCAAATTTGCTCTTCTGTTTGCTAGGGTGGGATTGTTTTCTATGATGTTTTCCATCACTGTGACCTACAAGATGGGCTTTCCAGTTTCCCTTTGAAAATTAATGTATTAGTTCGAGAGATTCCTTTTCTCTAGAATTCTTACTAGATTTTAACTGAACTTACATAGTTCCAGTTCTAGCCCTCAGCAGTGCTTTTATTACTGCTTTACTTTCCAGAAGTTTTGTATTTTTTGTTCTGAATTAGAACAGGCTGTAACAGTTGATGGATTTCAAACTTTGCTGGATAGTTCTATCCTGCATTTAAGCTTAAGACAGCTGTATCCCTAGTTTTAATGCTGCAAATAAAAATTTCAAAATTCAACACAACACCTAACAGTATCTGACTGAAACTGAGGCTAGATGGGATGCACCTCCCTTCCTTTCCAAATATCCTTACAGTCATTTAAATTGATGGCTATTTTACTGCTCAAGACTGCAGGTGGAGAGATGACCATTTTATGAAGATAGGTACAAATACACCTAACAAAATAACCTCACTTGGTGTCACTGTGGACTTCAGCCAGTGTATTTCCCTTTTTCTTCCATAGTCCGACACTTCCCAGGTGCTCTTTAATCATTACGTAGCTAAAGCGAATATAAGCAATTAATTTAATCTCCACTTATAAATCTTCACATTTTTCAATATTACTTCTGCTTTCCTCTGAAGCCAAACCAGATTACTGATACCTTTTTAGGTTTGGGTTCTTTCATCGGAAATACCTGATGTCAGACCCACACAGATCCCCTGACTTTAATCCTTATTTGAAGTAACTGAAAATCTGGCCACCACCAGGCACTTGTTCTCTACCTCCTTCTACACAGTCCTTCAGATCTGAAGCAACATCTATCAGGCTTTAGCAAACTCATGGTCACACTCCAAAGGTGAGCTACTTGTAAAGTTAAACTAATGCATCACTTAAAGACATCTGACATCTTCTGGGTGTCATGCTCCTCTTTTCCTCAGATACTGGGATTCTCCACACTACTGCAATTACAAATTTTGGCATTTTAAAATATCATACATGGATAAAATCTGTTAAAACTGTATTAAGACAAATGGAGTAGTTAAAAAAAATTCTGCAAATCTAGCAAATGCAATAGCACTACTGGCTTCAACTGTTTAAAGTTTCAGATGCAAATAAAATGATTTTTTAGAACTAAAAAGTTATTTGGAAAACAGGCTGAGAATCTCAAGAAGAAACAAAAAGGTTTCTGACTCAGCAGGACTCTGCCTAGTTTGATCTCACCCTTCCTTTGTCAATTCATTGGAAGTTCCTCGGGGCATGGATGGGATTTTACCTTTTCAATGGTCCATAAAGTGTTAAGCCCATTGTTACAAGTACAGAGGGGGAAAAAAAAATGCTATCTTTAGCTTTGCAGCAAATTAATCAGAGTTCCTCAACTTGGCTCCACCAATACCCTTTACCTACCTGTTATTAGTGGACTTTTAAGCAGATTAATTTCAAGACTACTTAAAATTTAATAGCATCAGCATAACTCTGTACCTTTCAGTAAGACAAGCAGGTACCCCAGAAATGGGAGCCCCAGAAATTAAAAGAGTTTTATTAACAGACAAAAATACAAAGCAAGACCATCCTTCCCTCAGTCCTTTCTCAGTTGTTTTAGACTAAAAGATCCTCAGGATAAAGCCTGTCCTTTCTCCTGATCAGAATTCAATATTCTAGTGGGCTTCTGGAAATTATATCTCAAAGATAGTGGGGGGGAAACAGGGTTGTTGGCTTTTGTTTCCTTCTTAAGGAACTGCATGTGAAAACTTAAAAAAATTGTATCAGTAAATACCTGTACATCTTTCCTTTTGCAATATAACATGTTCCTAATGAAAACACACAGGCACACAGGCTCCTGATGGAAAACCAAAGGGTCTATTTTCCCATTGAGGCATACGGGATTTACTTTATAATCCCCATTAGCATTGATAGAAATTACCCATGTAAATCTACCATAGGTACTGGAAATAGGAAAAGAGACCACCAATATTTCAAATCAAAGCAGGGTTCTACTGACTCCTTGCATATTCATGAGGGTTTTTTATTTTCTTTCTATCCTCCCTCCTCTGATCAGTTATTGTGTTGTAAGAAATATCTAGTAGAGCATTCTCAGTCATTGTTCTAAGCACTATCTTTATCATTTTTAGAGGACAAAAGCAACCCTTTTCCACTTGTTATAAATCAATTTTTAATTTTAAAAGGAGATCAGACTTTTTATTTTTATGAAGGAGTCTTTAAAGAGCCATCTCCCTCTCTTTTGGAAGCTAGCCAGCAGGCAAATTTGATACCTGCCTGAGAGAAGGAAATGACATAAGTACAGCAGTTGCTTCCCCCATGCAAGCAGTAAGTAGCCCAGGACAGTGTTTTCTTCCAGCTGGATCTGCTGTAAGGAATTCACTCACCGTAACTAACATTGCTACCAGTTCATACTGGAAAAGTATGCAAGAACTACCCAGTGAAAATTATCTTGATACAACCTAAAAGCAATTCAGCTGCTGCATCACTGCTGGATTTGGTACAGAACACAAGAAATGAAACTCAAGTGTGAGTTTGTTGTCTCTAATAGGAGAGACATGGTGCTCACTGTTTGTAGTCCCAGCTGGCTTCCACTAAAATCAGTAGGTAACAGATGCCTACCTAACATCCTGACTTGTGGAACCACTACCTTAAGTGTGGTTTGGAATAAATCTCTTTGGTTTTCAAGTATGCTCCTACTCTTCCCTCTGTTGCAGCAATGTCTAGGCTTGCCCTGTTCCTCCTTTACTCTATTTTTGTTGATGCCTTAAGTTTTAGCTCATATTTTTCAGATTCTGTACTGCATTAGTATATAACTCTGAACTTCATACAAAGTGTTAGCAAGTTCTCTTCACAGTTTAGACAAAACAATCCTTTTCCAGCCTGAGAACAAAGGTCACAGTTGCAGCTTCAGGCCCCCAAAAAGTATAAACACAAGTGAATTGAGGGGAGTAAAACTATGAGAATGTGACTTCATTATCTGAAGCTGTAATTGGACAATTAACCCCAATATGCAAATGGATCAAACTTTTAAAAGTGTGAAAAACTTGTGACCTGTCATCCATCTTGGGTGTAGCCTTGGCCAGGCTCTTGTACTGCCCAAGCTGTATCCTTTGAAGGCCTTTTTAATAAATACCTACTTTATTTCTCTGTCTAGCCTCTGTTCTAGGTAGCCTCCCCAGGCATCATTGTCAATAGGCTTCTCATTGATGTTTTCTATACCAGCACCTATTAAACATCTATTGCAGCCTTTCCTTGAACCATCTTTACCCAGTAAGTAGATAAGTGCACCAGTGAGATGGACTTGATGTGTCTATTACATCCAACTTTGAGCAATTCAGATGGCCTACAACATATACTTTCATTTTTTATAAAGTATCTATCCACTGCGAACAGGAAGAGTTTCTGGATTCAGATCACCTACTACAGATGCCTGAACATCTCCCCAGTGATAACCTAAGTCTGACAGCCCCAGGTAATAAGGTTATGTCTGTCAGTTTCACTCTTGTAACTTAAACACCATGATAAGTACCTAATAGTATCTCCCTTGAAGTATTGTTCAGTATTTCTACATCCAGCATTTAAGAACTTTGTCCATCCTCTGAATAACATCTAAAATACTGACTTTGATGCTCAACTCCCAGTGCAAGGGATGGGTGTTAAAATGCCCAGAAGAGCTGTGGGCTGAGTAAGGAGCAGTTTCAGGGCTTACTCCCTGCCCAGAGAAGTATCAAAAGCTTTTCTTCCTTCCCTAGAGACCAGGCTTTGGAGTCCAACCAGCAGTCAGGATCATAACACCCTATCAGAGGTAGACACCTCAAACCAAATTGTTATGCAGATCGTCTTTTCAAAGGTGGCCAGAGGAAAGGGCCCACACCCTCCTTTATGTAACCCAAAATATTGCATTCCTTTCAGTAGCAGGACAGCTGCCATGGGAGGTGCCTCCTGGGGTGCTCCCCCAAGGGCTGGGAGCCTGGGCATTCCTCCTGTCCAGTCCAGGAAGTTACTCAACCTGACCCTTCCATGTCCCATAGACCACTCCAAACCTGTACAAGATCATAAGTCAACTGAATCCTTCCTCCATATACAAAAAATCAAAGCTGACATTTTCTTGCATATAGGGCCAAATCCTGTCAACACATTTTAGCTCACATGCTGAATCAGGCCCCTGAGGGGATAGAGGTGCTGCTCCACCTACTTTCGGGATTTGGGAACAAGGCACCTAATCTATGCAGGCTTGGACACTTCTGTGCATGCAGAGAACTGTCCCTGCCAGTGCCCAGGGCCTCTAAGGACAAAGAAGATGTGTAATGAATTTTGGGTCCTTCCATATTTAGAAGATTGTTATGGTGGGGTTTTGACAGCAGAGTTTTTTAATCTGGCATCAAAACTTCCATTCTCTGGGACTTAGTAAGAAAAAGGCATTTTAAAGGCACACTGCCATCTACTTCAGGGCAGAATTCTCTGCCAGTACTGTATTGGCCACACTCTAGCACATGCTGTTCACAGGGAGACTCCATCATCTCTTTTCTACAATAGTCTCACTGGAATAAAAGCCTAAGGCTGCGATGGAATTTTGTATCTGCAGTTCAGTGGCCTTTATAAGGCTGATGCCATCCCCTTATGAAAGGCACAAGAATCCTGCTCCACAAGTGGTGTCACAACAGTGCTACATTACTCAGGGCAAAGAGGAGTGGTAGAGGTTGACATTTAATTAGCCATGAATTTAATAACAATGACAAAAGCTGTTTTAGTAAGTACTGTATAGAAATTAAGCTTGTAAAGGCATTGAGTAATTCAATCCTATCACCAGGAAACCATTGTAAAAGCTAAGGCAGATGGTAGCAGAATGCACAGTGCCCACTTTCACACCTTTTTGAAGTGATAACTATGTGCTCATTTTGTAGACTCTGAACGATAACTGCTTTCAGTGCAGTGGTACAATACATCATCACAACAAAGGTAGATATTTAGTAGAGAACAAGGAGAGGGGGAAAAAAGGCACCATTCTCAGTGTCTAACAGGTCATACCATTGGATGCCACAGTTCGAGCCTGATTTTGGAACGTTTTGGATCGAGTTCCGTATTGCCCTGAAAAATGGCTGGCTTGGGATGATAACTCATTCCATGCACCGCTCTGTGACGGATGAAGGCTCGCCTGGGACTCCGCAGGGGGATTCAGGCGCTGGGCCCAGGCTAAGTCTAAATCTTGGGGCTCTTCCTTCAGTTTTTCTCCTTCTTTGCCAACTCGTTGATAGATTCTTCCAGTGCTGTCATTCAGTAATCTTCTCATCCCTGTAATTTGTTTTTTAATTTCCCGGCTTTCATCTCCTAATGAAAACAGAGCCACAGTTATCACTGTAAATTAGCAAAAACAGTAATGGGTAGCAATTAGTGGTTTTAGATGCCAATAAGGGTTGGAGCACATAAATAAATAAATAACAACAAGAAAGAAAAGGGATGGTTGAGTGGTCGTTGGGATGTACCAGGCTATGCTTTCACACAGCCATGGCTGACAGCTCTTGTGCCTGAAAGACCTGCTGAACTTGGCTTTCTTGATGCTGTTTCTAAGGCTTTGATGAGTAAGATTATTTTTTGCCAGAAGGAAACAATAATAGCTACAGCAGTTTCAAATAAACTGTCCTTCTAAGAGACTGATCTTATTCAGGCATTGATATCAGTGGATATTTTCCCTGAGAAAAGCCCAAAGGATCAGACCCTTTATGTATTAGTTTGCTGTATGCTGAAGGATAGATCTTACAAAAAAAAAAAAAAAAAAATAAAGCAGAGAAAGCACCACACCACACACATGCAGAACAGCACCGCATCTATTGATTTTAATGAACAGAATCAGTTCCTTATTCCACAGAATTTAGTAATACTGGATTATACAGGAATAAATTAAACAGGAGCTAATATGTGTGTAACTGCAGCTAGCTGAATTGCTGGATGTCTTAAAATGTAGATTTTAAAAAGAAAATGAAAATATATACAAGAAAACTGTCTGTTCCAAATAAATTCAGGGCACTTAAATAATGAAAGTTACATACTTAATACTTCTGGCACCATTTAACTATTAATTTTACATATGAAACTGCTGATTGCACAGTGAATAGATGTGTTTTAGGCAGAGAGTAGCTATTTTGCTCATTAAAGCATACATTACATTTCATGAGTAGTAAGGAAGTATTCATTGCCCTTTCTGAAGAAAGAAGCTTCTGGTTTTCTTACTGGTAATAGAAAAAACAAATATCCTAAGCAAATGTCATAAGTAAGATCTAGAAATGGATGAATCAACCTTCCTTTATAGAATACTTAATACAATAATGCCTGGTATTCTCTACTCAATTTATATTTGTACTTCCCAAAATAAACCCGTTTTTGGCAAAGGAACTGTACAAAGGAAACTTCAGAAAAAAAAAGCTACTCTCCAAAAATCCAAGATGCAAGGTGTGCCGTCTCTGGTTCAACAAGGTACTTGAAAGTGTGTTAAATGCCAGGCATGTGAACAATTTTATCAACTCAATGGCACTATTCAGCTGCCTACCAGACAGCTAAAAGAGCAGCAAACCCCTCCCCAACACAGGCCAAGCTGAACGTGGCTGGGACTGCTGCAAGCCCGGTGTAACCAGGGACACTGAATACCCCAAAGAGGGAGGTTTTGTTTTAGGAGAACAAGCAGAAGGGGAGAGGAGCTGAGCAATGTGCTGCAGCCTCTGCTGGATCCCAGCATCTCTTGCTTGACCTGGCTCACCGGTTCCCTGGGCTGGTGCCAGCTGGCTCCAGCCCACCCCGATCCAGCAAGGAGAGTGGGTGGCTTGCAAGAAAGCTTTGAGTCCAAACTTAGAAAAATATTTGCCAACCCCGTACAGCAACACTCCAGCACCATTTCCACTCCAGCTAAAGTGGCGAGAAAAACCCTCTGCAAGGAAGTTCTGCATTGTATTTATTTATTTTGCTGGTTTGCCTGCAGATATGTGTGTGCGGGTGTGATTTAATTAACAGTAACAGCACCAATTCCTTTAAAATGACACTTTTTGGCCCCAACCCAAACAGGGGTTGATTGTTTGCAGTTCCCAACCTCAAAATGCTGCAGAGTAGCACTGGACTCCAATAACTGATACACTCACACCCATACACTGCACCCTGCCTTTCTCCTGTACATGGCTGTACCTGCCCATATCCCAGCTCCAAATGCTGCCACCACACCACAGCCTGGAGCAACCCCTTCCTGATGTGGCATTTAACATTACCCTGGGAGTTTTAAGGTGGCAATTTGGATTTGTACTCAATGGCAAAATGTATGTGAGTATCAAAACAGCTTCTCACCCACCTCCTCCTCCTCCAGGGTGCAGGGACTCTGCTTTGTGTCTGGTCGGGTGACATGTTGTTAGAAAGATTAAATTTCCGTTACCGAATTACATGAAATATTAATGTTAATTGAGCTTATTCAGCCTTGTTCCTTTATATAGAAGTCTTCCTATACAGTGACTTGAACATACTTAACCCCAGATAGAAAAAATGCTACATTTATGTTACAATAAATCCTGAACTTGCACCCTACCTAAACCTATCTTTTTGCTTTGGTAGATCCTTACTTAAACAGGAAGATTCACCCTTTGTAAAAGTGTTTGTTGAGGTTTGAGTTTTGGGATTTTTCTGTTTGTTTTGTTTTTAAAATATGTCTTCCCTTTTAGAAGAAAGGCTAATAGCCTGTAGGTTCTTAATGCCCTAAACAGTCTTCAGTGCAAGTTTATATCCCTCCTCTCCCAATCATGCCTTTTTCCAGCTTTTAGTTTGTAGCTGACCAGCAACAGCAGCATCCTCCCCACAGGAGTGAAGATGATGTTATACCATCTGAATCTGCAGATGGGTGCAATACCAGTTACAGATTTAATTTCTTGCTCCCTGGTTATCTCATTTGGCTATTAGCTCTAGAGCCCAAAGACAGCATTTTGTTATCAGTTATTCCACTGCTGATAATTTTCACAGATAATAACCATGTAATTTAAAGATGAAAAAAAAGTAGATGGGACACAGAGAAAACACAACAACTCGAATTAGTATGTCCTATGGAAGAGCCAGCCTTCTTTTAAATGCTAAATAGAATAATAAAGCACTGGAAAAAATAGTTTATTACTATTTTAATACTATTCTACTATTACAGAATTCTGTATTATCTATCTGTACAAATCTTTCCAAGATAGATGCTGAGGCCTGAGAAGAGTGGCACATACTACAGCCTCTCTCTGTACACATACCAGGGCTCCTCACCATTTCCAAAGAGATGGGGATGCCTCCAAAGGCTGCCTACAGGATTTGCCATTTGGATAACCCATGTAAGGCCCTGGGTTTTATCTGAAACCATTGAAGTCACTTGCAAAACACTAAAACACTTACAAAATGCTACTCAAAATAGAACCATGGCAAGTTAGAGTCCTGTTTAGGAACTTGTATATAGAGATGTCAAGTGTCATAACAAAAACGTATTAACAATTTTTAATAACTACTGTTGTAGTTGTTTTCACTATGGCCCCTTACAAACAACCTGGGATTCTTCCTACATGACCTGCGTGTAATCTTATAAAACAAAAACAAACCAACCAAATAAACAAACCCGCCACCCCCAAAACCAAAAATAAAAAAAAAAAGCAAAACAAAGCTGTTTAGTAAATTTAATAAATCATAAAAAGTAATTTCCTCAAAATTCATTTCAATCTATTTCCTTACTGAAAGTGTACAGGACATAAAAACTTCCTGCTTTGAAAACTGTGAGAATGTTTAAAATTACAAAGCAACAAATGTAAACCAGAACTGTTCCATGGTACAGTAGCGTCCATGTGCTAAGTGTGAAGCTGCCTGAAGCAACAGGCCTGTAAACAACTCCAGTTAACAATATGTTAATGATAATTCATTTATTACATTCCTCACTCCTATATGCCTATAATGTCCATCTTTTCATTATTATGTTTATTAAACTTAATATATCAAATTGCCTACAAACATGTTGTTATACTTTTCCTGAAGTTTATCAAATATTATTATAGCACTGCAAATAATTATAAAATTATATGCAACCATATTGATATGTTTAAGCATTAATTTTATCACAGTATCAGAGAAATGGTAACCATGTCTGTATTAATGCATGTGCTTTAAAGAGTATAAATGGGTGAACAGAATTAAGGTTGGACAATCATCTGTATTTGATATTTCCTTCCTTCGACTCATAAAACCAAATAACCATCATGTTCTCTTTGTCCAATATTTTGCAATTACTTTATTTCTAACACTTATGTTTCTCATATGTTTTGGGAAATATTCACAAGTTGACTTTTAAAATGCAGTTTTTCTATTAATTACAGTTTATGTTTTTTGGACAGATGAAATGCTTATGGAACTTTCTCCTTTCTTGACCATACAAATAGGGCCTTTTCCTGGATCAGGCTGCTTACTGAAGTCACTTTTATCCCACATTTCCACCTTTGTTTCCAACTAGTCTGAAATTGGTGGAGCTGTTGCGAGGGTAGGAATGGCAACAACAGACAGCCAGACAAGCACATGTGAGCTGACAACAAGAGCCTGGTTTGTATGGAAACAAGGCTTCAGAGGTGAGAAAAAGTGGAAGTTGAAGCATATGGCATGAAAATTCAACAACAAAAAAATAAGTAAGTGCAAAGGGTTATATAATTAAGCATATTAAATTGCAATTTATTAGATGCCACTTGAATGCTGCTCTCTTTGGAAGGGGGCCAGCAAAACTTGCCTGCTGGGTTTGAAGACTGTAAGGACTGACTCAGAGCAGCTCAAGAAAACGGGAAGCATGTGCACACAGGGCACACATCTCCATTGCTCAGCCAGGCTGAACTCACCAAAACACCTTTTGGAATGCTACATGGTGTTCAGGTATCTCCTTCAGAGACAGTTATCCTAGAAGGAAGCTCAGCATCCCTCCTCAGCAATAACTATATCCACATCAAATCAATAATTTTCAAAAAACAAGGTATTTTTTTGTCATCTTGTACTACACGTCCTGAAACAGAAAGTTGTGGAGGTCAGCATAGGGAAAACAGAGGATTCATGTGCACAATTCTTTATCAGAGCAAAGGTCTCCTAAATCACGTGGAATCTTACTGTGACTTCTCTGTGCACAATTGGAATCGGGCATCTGCGTAACTAAAGTGATGGGGTAAGCATACATTTCCCAAAAAAGCAATCCCAGGTCTTTGCCAGCATGTTTTTTGCCAGCAAGATTTTACACTGAAGAAAGAACACAGGAAACAACACCCTTTGCAAATTAAAAACCTAAACCCCAAGTCACTGGGGAGGGCAGCGGTCAAGAATGGTGTCAGAGAGTCACACAAGCAGCACGAATTATAAACTGGAGAATTTAAATCTTGCAAACTAACATGTGGGGACATTGAAGCTGTCTAAGTTGAGGCATCTTAGCAATGTTCTAAAACATCACCTCAAAGCACTTTCCTATTCTCATGTCACCACACAAAGCACTAGGATTAGATATGCAGGAAAACTGGATCATCCTCAAATCAGGCCTCTTACTCCCAAAGCAAACACAGAAACACATGCTTCTATGACCCTGCCTATTATGAGACAAACAAAGTTATTAAGTCCCACAAAACACTAATGTAAGCAAAGAAATTTGAAGAATCAACCCCAGGACTAGACCCCGAGACCACTCAGGATTTGGGCGTTATTTCCCAGGAAACTAGGTCATACCAGGTGGCCAGCCACCACTCCCACCGCAAACAAAATAAGTCTTTGGAAGAGCCTGGTAAAACAGTTTCAAAACACCCAACAAGACAAGCTGCAGAAGCCAAAGTTACACACTTTCATGCCACACAGTGCCAGCTAAATCACTAGGGAAAGGACAAACGAGCAACTGTTCAATAAAAGTATATATTAATGGGGTCATATAATTAAAAAAGTAATAATAGACGTGCAACAACTTCTCCCAGTTCTTGGAAATATCCCAGGCCAAGACCACGCTTTAGCCCCAAAGGGAAATACTTTACGAAGTTAGATCATTAGAGAACACAGATACATAAAATAAACTTTTATGCAGTCTTAATTACAGAAGCCACTAGTGCAACAACCAGACTTGGGATATAATCGTATTAACAGTAACACAAGTCTGCAAAGTTACTTGTTAAGTCAACTTTTTCTCTGTGAATAAATTGCAAGGGATATTATTTCTGGGACAGAATAAATTCTTGAAATTAGTGAGTAACTTATGCATCGCTCCCCTGCTCCAAGAACACATTATTTATTTTTACCATGACACAGTGAAATTATTAATCTGCTGCCTTCCATTTCAACAAAGCGAAATGCTGTAAAATGCACAGACACCTGCATTACAGTACATTTCAGTTCCACTTTATATCAGTCATAAACATCTCTGTTTTGGACATCTCTTCAAAACAAATGCTCCAAGCACACTGAGTATAGCATGCAATTTTATGAAACTATAAAAGTTCTTCACTGTTAATTACACAGACAAATGTCTCATCACACATTTGATTACCAGGATAATATAATTAGTTTTCTGCATTAACCTTTCAAACACAGAGCCTGAATTTCAAGTTGAAAGCATTGTAAAAACACTCAGTCTGGAAGTATACTATATATCCACTTTTTTGTGATGGTAATAAAATATTAAGACTGAATACACTATGGTGCATGCAAAATATCTTTTTTTTAATACAGTGTAAGTTTAATCATCACTTTCCACAAGACACAGGTGTACATAGTCCCTTCAAGAGCTTGTAATACCAAGTCTGGACTAGCAGCTCTGTGGATTTACTGGAAAAACTGAAGTCAGGTCTGTTTTAAATCTCACCCATGTTTGAGGTTTAAGCATTTCACTCTGGGCTGCCTCCTCCTTCTCAGGCTGAGCAGTCTCTCCTGGTACCAGATAACAAAGCCCTTTCCTTCAAAACAAAAGACATGCCAGTCCTCATCCATAAAATATAGTAGTGATATTCCACGTTCCCCTGCAATTTTGTAAAGACTGTGGTTAGCATGTCCTTCATCTAGAAAGATGTGACTTCTTGTTCATCATCTTATCAGAACAAAGGACTGGGGGAGAGGACACGCCACCACATCTCCCACTCCCAACACTGCACTACATGAGAAAACTTCCCAAGCTCTATTCAGATAGCAGTTGGACTCTACACCACTGCAACCATCAGAGGTCATGTCCAGCACCATGTTCCTTTAACTACACTGAAGCTTCCTCCAATTTTCAGCCTATATTTACACAAAACTGTATTTTGCCCATCTGTGCTGGTGCAAAAAAGACCATCTAGGTTCATCAGGTCCTTCTTGATATTTCATCCTTAATTTATCTGTACGTTAAACAAACTGGATTCTTCTGATTTACTCATTTACCCTAGCAGCTCCCCTCTTCTCAACAGCAGTTTTGAGTTAACCATGCTCAGCTGTGCAACAAAGGCATTTCCACATTCCTGATAAAGTTTCACTCATTTACAGACTGCCACTAAAATTTTACCTTCCCTAAAGGTAATAGTTTCAATACTGAATCATACTATCCATTCCATCCTAAAGGCTTCATCACTTAGGTTTCAACTGCTGATGCCATGGATCACTTAAACTGGAGAACAAACTTGACTCTAAATCAACAAGTTGGAATAAACATCCTTCTGTAATAAATTTTGGCATAAAGCAGTGAAATCAAGTGAAGCAGCAATTATACCCTGACTATACCTGATAAGGAAGATCCTTGATAGGCTTCACATTGTTAAAGGTTAAATTCTGACTGACTCTTGAAATAGGTGAACTTAAGGCACTTAAATGTCAGAGCACCTTCAGTCACAATGAAAAGCAGGACATACTAAAAAAAAACAAACAAACAAACCTAAGGACAACACAACCAAGCCAAAATCAAGATCAGTTGGTCTGACTCACAGCACAAATGTCAAAGCACAGACTTCTGCACATTTTTAGAGCACCCTGGCTGATGCCTAATTCTTGCCAAAGCTTTATCATGACTTGGAAAAAAAAGCATTTCAAGTAAACCTCTGGTGGAGTTCATTCCATCAGGTTTATCATACTTCACCAAAAGTGCTTACAGAACACAAAATCCAAACACAAAGCACAGCAACTGCCTTTGCTTAACCCTGCAAATGGGTGTAGGGAAGAAATTTTTGCTCAAAATCCTAATGGCGAAAAGGTGAGAAGGGAATTTAAGGCAGCTCCCACCTCCGTTTTAGTACATCCTCCTATTCTCTCCCATTTGCTGCTGACCTCTAGAAGAGGATGTGGCACTATGAATTTAGGAGACAAAGGCATTTTGCACACAGACTAACTTCAGGTGCTGATTCCCATATTCCAATGCTCCTTACTGGCTCCAGGTGGCAACACACACAGACTACAGAAACCTTAAATCACCATACAAAAATGTTTAGGCTCCTGGTGCTGAGAAGTAGAGGCAAGGCAAATTTCTTGCTGCAAAGTCATCTGCTTTGTCCAAAGCCCAGACAAAGTGTTCACAAGCTTGCTTCATACAGCTGAAAAAACTGGTCCCTCCTTATTTGAATTTAGCATGCCAAATCCTTGCCAAGAGGGGCTTTATCCAGGTGAGGTCCTGGATGCAACTGGAAGGGGATCAAAGCATGAAAGGAAGAAGCATTCTGCAGCTGAGGCGTTATACAGGATAAAAAGCACATGAGAAAGGTAAAGGTGCACTGATAGCCAGCCACTGATATGCTGTAATACATATCATGCTGCAGACTCTATATTACTTCTCTATTTTCTTTACACATTTTTAACTGTTGATTTAATTTAATTTTGCCATGGCAGGATTAGCAGGCAAGCTCCAGAGGTGAAAGGACATTACATTAAGACAGCACATTAATCCTCTATCCCACCCAAGGCAGAAGCAAAACCAAACAAATAGCAGCTTCCTGGAAATTGAATTTCTGTTATCCAGATGTCAAAGATGTAATACCCCAATTACACAAACTATTGCCAGTGAAGCATGCCAGGGAATATGCAATGTAAATGGGGTGAGCACAGAGCTGCAAAACTGCAGAGTCAGCATCTGGCTCTCTGAGTGAGTGATAATTAGCACTGTGTGTAGACACTAATAAACATTTATGTCTGAAATTACAACTTTTAGCAGTGTTAATAAAGGATATATTGGCAATTCATAGAATAAAAGGGTCTTGAAAAGAACGTCATATTAAACAATGGCAGGCGCTTTCTGTGCTTGCACAGAGGGTTTTTCTCCCTAATTGCAAATGGCCACGCAATGTTGCTTGAAAATTAATCAACACAAGCACATACCTAAAAAAGCTGGTTGTGTTTCTTTGGTCTCCCCATTAACATCACTGCTGTAGTCAGAGATCTTATATATCTCATGATGGTAATCTGGAATGAAAAACGATAAAAAAAATTAGAACTGAAGTGATCTGGAAAAAATGAACACTGAACACATTGCTACAGTTTTACTACACAATTTATCAATATATATGCAGTTTATTTCATGTACATCAAATTAACCACAGAAAATGTGCTCTGTATCAGCACCTCCTAAAAAACCTTTGCTCACACTGGAGAGACTCAGCTCAAATCTTTCACAGATTTTAGGGAATAGCTATGCCTGCCCTAAATTACTGTGTTCATTTTCACAGCAAATTATCCCACCAGATGCCAATTATCTGGCTTCTTGCTTTACAGAAGGAAAGCAGATTTTATAATGAAAACTTAACCTTCCCAGAGACCAAGGAAAACTTTCAAACTTCACCTCAGTAAGGAATCAGCAATGTACATCAGGGCTGTATTGCTCAGCTGTCCTGACTCATACTGATGTCACTGGCCTCCCAGTTCTGAAGAAAGGAGGATCAGAGACACCTTAGGATATTCACCTATAGAAATTAATGCCTGTGATGTCCTGAAGAATTAGCATTGGTATCTCATATACAGAGATGTTACAAGATATTAAAAATAAAAATAAATCACCACTGAGTTTCTATTTTAAATAAAATAATATTTTGCTGTGAAGGTCTCCGTTTTAACCCTAGGCAGGTGTTCACTAAAACCAGAGCTTTGTTTACACATGTGCACAGAGAGAATAGTAAGTCCAAGGGGAAAAAAGTGTCTAAAGGCAGCTCTCCTGGATGCTGTTCCTGACTCTGATACTGGCACACACTCTGTCCTTCGGCAAATCACTCAAGACTGAACAATATATTCAGTGTCTTGAAAGAGCCACCTCCCTACCTCACTCCTTCAGTGCCCTCCTCCCAGTTCCCAACACTCTCAGCTACTCCCTCCATAAACTGGTTTTGTTTACCTGCCTCACAAAAAGCAAGGCAGAGAGAGATTAACTCATGGAAGGGACTTCGGGGGATTCACTTAAAAGGTGTAACACAAGTGGAGGGTGGCATAAGCAGCTCCTTCTCCCACAAGCAGCACATCTGACCAAACAGCCACAGGACTGGAAAAGTCTCCTGGAAGTCACGTTTTGTTACTTGCTGTTTATTTGTACACCACAACTGTCTCGAAGACACAAGAGGAGGAACAACCCAGTATGTCAACTAAAATCAAGCCTAACACAGCAATGCAATAGAATGAAAAGGGCCTGGAAAGAAAATGAGGGTAAAATAACCACACCACAGAACTGAAGAGGTCAGTGATGAGGTGCTACACAAAGGGTTCCTCTGCTTCCTGAGCACACCCAGCCACTGAAATGGGTAAAGGTGAAGTTTGAGATATGACATCGAGGAAGTAACAGCTTCTTTCATAAGACTAAACTGGCAGGATTTATGCTGCCTTCCATGATCTTCCATGATGACTAGCTGTCCTGTTGAACAGAGGGTGTAATGAAGTGGCTTGGTGGGCACCTGATGGCCAGTCAGGGTCTACTTGCCACACTCTGCACCTTCATCCTCTCAAGGACATTCCAGGATCTGTGTCATCAAGTACATGGAAGCTAGGACTTAAATGACTTACGGACTCATGCTCCTTAGATACACAGATTACACATGCCTTCTTCTCTAGCACTTCCCTGTACATCCAGCTGGTCACAACATTCTGGTCTGCAGCTGCTGCCTTGAAGTCATCACATTTCACCCCAGAAGTGGCTGTGTTTTAGCACAGGAATGGACTTTCTCTTGATTTGATCGTTATTGGTCATTTGATAAGGTGCTCTGAAGTTGTTTTTGGGACAGAATAAGCATTGTATGGGCACACATCAATAGCAGATGATGTGTTACCAACCAATTCATACAGCATAGACTTTTCTCTTTGGTTTCCTCCTTTTGCCTTGGATGTCACAGTCCAGGAACTGGAAAACCATATCAATTTCCCAACAGTAAACACTACACTGTGACATTACAGAATAACTCCTGCAAGAGGCAAAGGCCAATTACAAGAGATAACTATTTATATGTAATTATCTTTCTAATCAACTGTGATAGAAAAGAGTATGAGAGTGCAGACTCACATACAAAATGTGGTTTTTATCTCCTCCATTCTCAAAGTACAAAGACATAATTTTCTCTCTAGGATATGCTTTTAGTGTAGCTTTCTAATTGACTTTCTACATTCAAAAAGAGACCCCAGATAAAATATTATTAATAATATACCATCATAACTGCATTTACCTATTAAAATAAAGTTAAATAGATTGTCTCATACACTGAGGCTTATTTAAGCCTGTAAGAAGTGGCAACTGAGACTGGTAAAATAGTCACCTATTTCTAGCACATACTCTTTTAAGAGGTCCATTAAGACAGAAAGAAACAAAGCAAAATTTCAGTTTTGTTTTTCCACATTTTGCTTTCACCACCTCCATGCTCCAGCCCAGTCGTGCACTAACTCTGCCTCCAAGTAGGGAGCATGTTCAGTACCAAAACCCCACAAACCAAACCTGTTCTCTGTAAAAATTACACCCTTGATAGGTTTGCTAATGGATACAGACCTCCAATGCATTTCAGACATGGTCTGGCAAGTCCCTACCCCTCTAGTTTTAATAGGGACCATGTGTGATGCCCCAGACCCCCCTACCACAATTCAGCGGTCATTATTTACTATTCCCACCAAGTGAGTTTATTTCCATCTTTGAATTTCTTTGCTTCAAACGTAATTTTGAAGACCAGTCCTCAGATAGACACTCGTGTGTGTGTCCCCCTTTTCAGCAGTGTGACATTACACCCAAGCAGTCACCTGCCTTGAACTTGGCATGCAGGACACACACAGCGTTTCATGGAGATATTCCCGTCCAATACTTGGGAACACAAAAGGAGAAACGATCTCGAGTCAAATCCATCAGGGCAAAAACATCTCATCGGCCGGAGAAGGGATAAATACCCAACCAAAATAAATCCCTAGGGGTGGGAAGTCCACCTGTTAAAATGCCTACCAGCGGCTGTATCTTCTTTCCCCTTTAATTAAAGAAAAAACAACAACAAGACTGAAACACAGAGCTGTGCTTCTTGCCCGACATGAATTCAAATATTTCTCCCCTCACTATCTCTTTTAAAATATCCTCTTTTCCAAAAGCAAACACACCCTGAATGAACAAGTTACACGCCAGCGGCTCTCCCCTGCCCACGTACAATTAATTACCTGCGTGGATTTTTAATAAAGCAATCTCGATTCAGCTTTTCTTTGAAATACACGGATGTACACAGCCGAGGAGAGGGAAAAAAACACCCCAAATACAATAAATCCACAAGAGTTGAATACTAAGAAGGTCTGTCGCTGCTCAAGTGTCATTTTTTGCTAGCTTCCCGATTTTGCCTTTTTCCCCCCCCGCCCAAGCAGGATTTACAACGAAACACGATCCAACTTTATTTTGTGCAAGGTCTGCTTGGAAAAAAATAACACGTCCACCTGAGGTGGTGGGGGGGAGGCTTGAGGTGGTGGTTTTGCAACAACACGTAACACACATACAAAAAATTATAAAAAAAAAAAAAAAAAAAAAAAAAAAAGAAACGGAAAGGGGGTAAAAGAAAAAAAAAAAAAAAAAAAAAAAAAAGGAAGAAAGGCAGGCATGCAATGGTTTTGGGGAGTTCAGGCAGATGATTGCGGAGTTCAATAACAGAGCCGGGAGGGAGCGGCGGCCCGGGGGCGCCGGGCGTTTCATAACGCCCCGCTCCCCCCGGGGCAAAAGTCGGGGCTGCCCCCGGCCAGCGAACAAAGCCCGGCCGCCCTCGCCTTACCTTCGTTGACCAGTTTAAAGCTTTGAGATTTCCTGCTCCTTTTCCTCTGGGCGAACTCCATGGTGCGGGCAGGAAGGAGCGGGGCGGACACAGGACCGAGCTCCGTCCCTCCGATCAGCAATACACGCGGGGGTTGGGAGAGACGGCGGCTCCGGCGGCGAATAAAGGGATCCGGGACAAGTTGGCTCCGGTCTCCCCCCCGCTCCCGCCCCAAACTTTGAGGGAAAGCGGGGTGCGGCGGGGGGAGCCCCGCGGGGGCGATGCCGCCGCCTTCCCCCCCGCCGGCTGCGCGGCCGCGGCCCGGCGGCGAAGGGCGGCCCGCAATGGCTTCGCCGCCGGCGCCGGGACCCCGGTGCCACCTGCTGGGGGAAGGAAGGCGGCGGTTCCGCCGGCCGGGAGCCGCCGCCACCCCGGGGCCGGCCCGCCGCCACTCGGCCCCGCCGCGGGCTGAGGGCGAGGGGCTGAGGGGCAGCGCCATTTTGTGTCCCCCTCCCGCCGCGCGCCTTACACACGGGCACCGGCGCTGCCCGCTCAGCCCCGCGGTGCTGCCCGCGGCTCCCCTCAGGGGCTGAGCGGGGGAACTCCTCGTGTTTAGCGGGACTGGGCCAGGGCCGGCGGGGAGGGGGTTGAAGTTGAGGTGCGGAAGTGGGTAAACCTCAGGAACTGCTGGCAACACCTGTTTGTTGCCGTGTTTTACAGGGATTATCGCAGCTATGTGTCCGCTGGTGTCATGGACCGAGGCCTGGAGAAGAGCGCCGAGCCGCCAGCTGGGCTGAGGGATGTTGAGCTCTGCCAAACCTGGATCGCCTTAGCAAGAGGAAGAGAGTCGTTCAGGCAAAAACTGGATCGCCTTAGCAAGAGGATGAGAGTCACGGCTCTCCAGAGGAGCGAGATTTAGGGCGTCTGGCAACCCTCCCGACGGTCACCGTGAGGTCATTGCAGCCATACGGCTGGCCCAAGCACAGCTGAAATTAGTGCTTTGATTTATTCACCACTTGACGCCTTCAGCCACACTTCCAGTTCGCTCCGTGTGCTAAATTCACCGAGGGTGGAGTGGTTTTTTTTACAGCCGAGAGTGCTTTTGCCTGTTGCCTGTAGAGAAAGGACCCAGGCGTTTACAGTTATGACTACTGATAACTGCAAACACAGCTCCGATCATCATCTTGTGTTTTACATGTAGTCAGACTGTGTTGTGACAAGGAGAAGACTATGTGATACTTGCATACGCCTACTTGAACAGATGCAAATGCAGATCTTGCCTTGGTCTCCTCAGAGTACCCAGGAGAATCCCGTTAGCTCCAGTAATATTGACCGACCCTATCACTCAGAATAATGACATAAAATGAGCAGGAGGGAAGCAAATTGAATACTAACAGTAGTGATTCGTATCCTAACTGTGTGCATAGGCATAGTCAGACCTGAATTCTTTGGTGCAAGGTGCCATCCAGACACCACACAGGGTATATATGGCTCTGAAAAGTAAAATTGGGAAATAGCCTTAATGGTGAAGCAACATCAGAAAATATGCCTAATGGTAAAATTTATTATCTGCTGGAGAATTAAATTCACAGGGGAGGTTACCCTCACAGATTGGGTAGGGGTGTAATTTTCTATTAAATTTTCAAGTGGAAAATCCCAGAGGCAATCAATATGCTACTTTTGGAATTTTCCTAAACTTCTCTGTAGGACTTTGTGAAAGGAAACTGGGCTAATGTACTATTTTAAATCCTGCATTATGTATTTTTGGGAGGATGCTGAAGCAGCAAAGGTAGATGGATGTCATATGCTGTTTCCTGGATTTTGTGGGTCCAATTAATCTCTTGTACAGTGCAATGAAGTTGGGTCTGAAACGCAGCAGGAGTGTGCCTGAATTTTTCCAACAAAAAGAGTATTTTATCCTTTTTTTTTTCCCCTCTCCCCAGTTTGCTGATTCCTGTCTGCTAACTAACTTTATTTACAGGACTTAGAGCATTGCTGAAACTGTTGTGTTTGACTCTCATCCTTCCTGGGACAATAGGAGAATTTTTATAAAGCATAAGGCCCTCATTTACAGTTCAGCTCACATGATGAGCTTTATCCTACATTTGCCAAAGGAATCTGCTACAAAAATCTTTTCTGTTTTCCTATGTTACTCAATTTTGTGGAACATTTTGGGGTATAATTAATGAAAAAGTGATGGCAGTGTTTTATCAGCTGCTCTCTTACTGGTTTTAGTTTTTTCTACCCTGTGCTGATATTTTGCTTAAAGGGACACTCGTGGTTTTAAATGACATTACAGTCTGGGAAATGCAGTTTCCAGTAATGTTTTACAAAGGTTAGCACGTCCCCTTTTTCACTGATATTTCTCATATTCCTTTTTAGTCAATTAGAGAGATCCATCCTTTTCATGCAGAATAAGCCTGATCCTGCAAGCTAACCTAATTGTGGTCACTCAGATGAATAAATCTTGCAGTTTTCATTTCTGATAGTATGAGCCAGTGTGGATACCACGGCCCTGATCCTGCCATCTGATCTGCATAAAAGTGAATTAGAAACTAGGACAAGGTGACTTTAGGTCAAAGTCTTGTAGTTATCCACACAACACGTAGGAGGATCCGGTAGCTGGAAACAGCTTTCTGTCCTGCACTGCTGGTGTTTCTCAGCTGGGACTTAGAAAAAACTACACAATCTGAAAGGCACACAAAGGTACAGGGAGCTGTGAGCCTGTTGTTGGGCATTTTGGGGTGGGCATCCTAAAACTGGACTGGGATCATCTGCTCGTTTGTCACAGGCCACCATTGCATTATTCCAGCTGGAGAAATGAAGAGATGAAAGTCCTCTTTATCCCCATTAGAATGGCTGCCTTGTATCACTCTAGATAGTCACTGGCTGCATCGCTGTGGCAGCCAAGTGACTTAGGATAAAGTGCACACTGGCTCTGAGGGGCAGAGAGCTTTTAATTTCATCTTTTATTTCAGTTTCTGTCTTGGTATCATATTGTTATTATTACATATTAAGAACCCATAGGTGCTTTTTTTTTTCTTGGTGAAACTATGAAAAATTCTGAGCATCTTGTCTCTATTCATGAATGGTTTTAAAGCATTTCCTCAAACCATTAACTGAGTAATGTTTTTTTTTCCAAAATGCCATGAAATTAGCCAACTAAATAAGGGCTTTATCTTTCAACATGTCCCAAGTCAGTATGATCATCCCTGATTATTTCTTAGTTAACATTTTATTATGCTTCAAGTCACTTTCTAACTGATAGTAATTTTCCCAACAATTTTCTGCTGTATAAAATACTTTTTTTTCATTTCAGATCATGAGCTAGCTGATTAAATATAATTAATCTAGTAATATTTCAGTATTAACAGCAGCAGTGCTCTTCACACAGGATGTCCCAGACTTTTTCTTTGTTTCCAGGTATGTCCAGTTCATTATAATTTATTATTCAGAAGAAGGATGGTATAGGATAAAGATGACTAAAGAGTCCTAGAGCAGAGGAGAATTAAATAAGCGTACTGAGAACCCCTTCAGCTTTTCATTTGTTAAAAATATACTGGAGAAAGTCGCATCAACTCAGTGATTTGATCTGAGGCTTAAAGTCTAATGTCAAGGAATTCATATGAGGCCACGTGAAGTGGGAAGAGGCTACTGATTGTCATATTAATAGCACAATGATTACCACTCATCTTGGAGCCTGACAAGGTTCCACGTGGTATTAGAAAGCAGGGGAAGGGTGAAGAGGTAAATTGAAGATCAGGAGCTGCACAGGTGACAGGTTAATAGGTGAGCTATTTTGGCTAGTTATGTGTAATGAATGGCATTAAGGATTTTATAAACTGTAGTAGTGTTTCCAGTGGTGGTTTTGTGGTCATATGACATGTGGGCAGTGCTTAGCCCCCAGGCTGACAATAGGCCATGTTGTGCAGTCTCACTACAAACCTTCCCTGTCAGCAGGCTGTCAGGCTGGGTCATTAGAGAGGAAGGTGTCTGGAAGTCCTAAAGAATTTTGAAGTCAATAGTGCAGTTTAACTTGTTTTCCAATCCTTAAGTTTTTACTGTACCGTTTGAATCACAGTACTTGACATTTCATGTCTCTGTCCTTACTCTGTTTTTCTTTTGGAACACAGTTTTGAAATGCCTTCTTGTCCATTCTGTTCTTGTTAATCTTCGTCATATAAATTTTAAAGAAAAATTACAGGACATACCAATGTTTTCATCTGTTTGCCAGCTCAGGGAGACAAAAACATTCCAGAACTGTTTCAACAATAAAGAATATAACTGAATCTATGTACAAAGTGTTCTTTGTGTGTGAAGTCACAAACCCTCTGAATATTTCCATATCAGAATGCAAACCTCCTGAACATTTCCGTAGCGGAATGCAAACCCCCATTTGACTGTAAAGTTGGACTTTTCCCCCACTTCTGTGAATTTATGTACAGCTTAGACTAAGGTTGCAAGGAAGGGCACTGTATTCTAAGAGTCAACACTTGATGGTCATCCACTCTGACCCAATACTTGTGGGATAATTGGCCTTTTAAGGTATTAAGTCTTCCCTAGGACAAACCAGTGTTTGGATTTGAATTCTTGGAGGAGTGGAGAAGAGACCAGGGTGTCTAAGCAACAGGCATGGTTGAAGGGTAAAGAAGAAAAGGTCTCAACAATGCTCTTTTTTATGAAAGAGGATGTGAAGGAGTAAAAGAAATCTGCCCATATACATGGACATCCTCTGTTTCTCTGCAGCATGAAGAAACCATGAGCTGAACTAATTTTGCCCTTACAACCCAAGTGCTTCAAGGGAGCTGAGGACAATGTGAGTAGGGCTTGTTATTTTGCCTAGAAATTTGAACTTTTGTCCTATATAAAGAGTAATAGTGCTTTGAAATTTTAGTCTGGAAGTGTCTTTGCATCACTACTATCTCTGCCTAAGAGATGAAATAAAGGCAGGCTGCTGTCCTCAGAAAGGACACATTTGAGCTTTGGGTCATCCCAGAGTCAATGTCAATCATGCCAGCCCAAGCACAGCAGTCAGCAGTCCCAATTCTGATGGATGCTGCAAGCACAGATCGCAGCAAGCTCAGCTCAGGGTCCAGCAGCCCAGCGAGCCCCCTGCTAGGGAGAGTTCCAAGAGGGTCATGCTGCTAATCATTCCTCTATTTTTGTGTCAGTTTGCTTCAGCCACAGCAGCTGAAGGCAGACGTAAGAGTGCAGCGATGCAATCGCTGGAGCTGCGGATGGAAAACGAAATGCAGCATCAGCTGCAGGAACAAAAGCATTTAACACTCTTAGACAGCTCCTTGAGCCTGT